TTGGTGAGTTAAGTTGGTATTTTGAGTGCACATGTTCGTCACCCTGTCATGTGTCTTTAGACGGCGATACATTTTGGAGGTTGTATTTGGTGAGTTAAAGTGGTATTTTGTGAGTTAAGGTGGTATTTTGGATAGTTAAGGTGGTATTTTGGAGAGTTAAGGTGGTATTTTGGAGAGTTAAGGTGGTATTTTGTGAGTTAAGTTGGTATTTTGGATAGTTAAGGTGGTGTTTGGTGAGTTAAGGTGGTATTTTGGAGAGTTAAGGTGGTATTTTGTGAGTTAAGTGGTATTGGATAGTTAAGGTGGTATTTGGTGAGTTAAGGAGGTATTTTGGAGACTAAAGGGGGACCTTTGGAGAGTTAAAGGTGGTATTTTGGATAGGTAAGGTGGTATTTGGTGAGTTAAGGTGGTATTTTGGATAGTTAAGGTGGTATTTGGTGAGTTAAGGTGGTATTTTGTGAGTTAAGGTGGTATTTTGTGAGTTAAGGTGGTATTTTGGAGAGTTAAGGTGGTATTTTGGATAGTTAAGGTGGTATTTTGGAGAGTTAAGGTGGTATTTGGTGAGTTAAGGTGGAGCAGAATAAAGTTAAGTGCTACAAACAGTTTATTTTGTATTGGCCGAGGTGCAGTTAAATACACTTTAATGAAAACCTGGTATACTTCGTTTTGAGCCGATTTATATAAATCTTTAGGTCCAGTTTGGATTTGGTTGGATATTAAAAACTCTGTTTCCCTAAGAGCATTTTGTGTTTTGGGAAAGGTTTGGGCCACTTTGTTGCGTAACACTTTGGCTATACAGCACCCATTTCTATTCTGAGTCATGGGTTTAGAGGTCTGTAAACCCACAGCGGGATTAAAGGCGATGTGCAGCGAACGGCAAAACACCAACACCCTTCATCTCTGTGACAAATAACTCTTTAATCTGACTTTAAAGTTAAACAGACTTCCCGGTGAATACCAATGAAATAAAAGGCTTCACGCTGCTGTTCACGGCGGGGGGTCCCCACTGTGCCGGGGTTTGAATGACAACAACAGAAAAGTGGGCTTCTGTCTTCTTTGTTTTTGAAAAGCTCAATGTGGCGCACTGCGGTGAGCGGACGGGGACAGGTCTGCAGGAAGGAGACGCTTAAGAGGAGGAATAAAGAAAGCAGCCGGCTGGAGAGAGCGAGGAGGAAACCGTGTTCGACTCTCAGCTTCATAACTCACTGACATGACCACCATAAGAGCGCTTTGACTCTGGCTGATAGGGAAGGAGCTTAAATGCTTCGTGTCCAGTCTCCTTTAGGATAGACGAGACCATCCTTTACAAAGGAAAGGAAATAAGGCCGTCCTACATTTAATATTACGCACAACGCGTTCACAGAAACATCTCATCGTGCCCAAACTCAGATAATGTAAGTTATGGTGCTTATTTTGCATTTTAAGACTTATGCCATAACTTGCTGCATTGCTTATATGTTTTAACCGTTTAACACTTAGCACAGGAGTTCTACTTGTATATTTTCAAAGTGTGGAATCTGCTTAAGTAAAGGGTCTGAGGTAAGGTGGTACTTTGGAGGGTTACAGTTCTTATGTGGAGGGTAAATGTGGAGTCAAGGTGATATTTTGCACAGTTCAGTTGGTGTTTGGATGGTTGACGCATAGATATGTTTGATATGTTTGATATATACAGTATATATATATATATATATATTAGGGCCGGGACTCGATTAAAAAAAATAATCTAATTAATTACAGGCTTTGTAATTAATTAATCGAAATTAATCGCATTTTTAATCGCATATAAATA